CTGCAGAAGGATGGATTTTGTCTTCTTATTCATTCTGCTAACCTGTGTCTTTTTATGGGCGAATTAAGACCATTAAAATTGAGGGATATTAATGACCATTGATTGTTCATTCTTGTTTTTTTTGTATTTGGTCGTGGTGGTGAAATTATGTGTGGGTTTCCACCCCTTTTTTCTTTTGGCTGTTGGTAAAGTGGATTATCTATTGCCTATATTTTTCTGGTTTTAGTTAACTTCCTTGGGTTGCAGTTTTCCCTCCAGAACTTTCTGTAGGGTTGAATTGGTGGATATGTATTGTTTGAATCTGGTTTTGTCATGGAATACCTGGTTTTCTCCATTTATATTGATTGAAAGCTTTGCTGGGTATAATAGTCAGGGCTGGCATCCGTGGTCTCTTAGTGTAGGTAGAATATCTATCCAAGACCTTCTGGCTTTCAGAGTTTCCATGGAAAAGTCAGGTGTGATTCTGATAGGTCTGCCTTTATATGTTACTTGACCTTTTTCCTTTGCTGCTTTTAATATTTTCTCTTTATTCTGTATGTTTGGGGTTTTGATTATTATGTAATGAGGTGACTTTTTTGTGGCCCATTCTATTTGGTGCTCTGTAGGCTTCTTATACTTTCATTGGCATGTCTTTCTTTAGGCTGGGAAAGTTTTCTTCTATGATTTTGTTGAATATGTTTTCTGCACCTTTGAGTTGGATTTCTTCACCTTCTTCTATACCTATTATTCTTCTGTCCTATTGGGTTTGGTCTTTTCATGGTATCCCATATTTCCTGGATATTTTGTGTTAGGGATTTGTTGGACTTAAGATTTTCTTTGGTTGATGAGTCTATTTCTCTTAGTGTGTCTTCAGCTCTTGGGATTCTCTCTTCCATCTCTTGTATTCTGTTGGTTATGCTTGTATCTGTAGTTCCTGATCATTTACCTAGCTTTTCTATTTCCAGCATTCCCTCAGATTGTGCTTTTCTTCTTCTTCTTCTTCTTCTTCTTCTTCTTCTTCTTCTTCTTCTTCTTCTTCTTCTTCTTCTTCTCCTTCTCCTTCTCCTTCTCCTTCTTCTTCTTCTTCTTCTTCTTCTTTTTACTTTAATCAAGAAAAGTGGTTTATTTAGGGTTGCAGGCCCATATTCTAGATGACAGATCTGGTGATTTTTTTTTCTTTTTAGCAGTTTCAGCATAACATAAAGTATCATATAGAAACAGGGGATTTGTTACAATAAATCTTTCTGCCAAAAGCCGCCTGAGCCCCACCACCACGTGTGAGCTTTACGCCAGCTGCTCGCCTGAGTTAGGGCCCAAATAAAAACACAGAAACTTGTATTAGGTTCAAAGATGCTTGGCCAATGACTAGGACTTCTCATCTGTTAGCTCAGTCTTAATTATCATAAATCTATATACATTATAAGACTTATCTTATCAGATGCCTTATTGGTGTCCCTCCTTGCCAGTGGCTCACATCCTGCCAATAGGAGGAGAATGGGAAAAGGGAGCCACTTCCTGTTTCCTCGCTTAGATACGAGTCTCCTTGCTATGTCACTTCCTGCCTGGATCACCACTTATCTACTTCATTTCTGAGAATCTTTGACTCCTAGTCTCGTCTAACTTGCAGTCTCATTGGCCAAACATTACTTTATTTAACAATCAATAAGATAAACATACACAGTACATTCCCCATCAGGGATTCATATAAATGTTAGGTTCTGTGTATCTTTATCCCTCTATTTAGTATAGTTTTAAAAGATTTTCTTGAAAATAATGCACATATATAAAGAGCACAAGCCATAAACAAGCAGGTCAATGAATTCTCAGAACAAGTGATACAATTTGCCTCTGGAAACTCTTGCATTCTCTCTTACAGGCACTGAGCTCCAAGATTGTGTTTTCTTTATTGTCTCTATTTAAGTTTTTAGGTCTTGAATTGTTTCCTTGAAAGATTTGTTGATATCTTCTATTTTTTGGTTTGTTTTTTTCTTCCATTTCTTTAAGGGATTTTCTCATATCCTCTTTGAAGCCCTCTATCATTTTCATGAAGATGTTTTTAAGGTCATTCTTTCTGCTTCATCTGCATTGTGATGTTCAGGTCTTGCTGCTGTATGGTCCCTAGTCTCTGGTGGTGTCATATTGGTTTTTCTGTTGTTGAATGGGCTTTTATATTGTCTTCTTCCCATCTTTTCTTCTGGTGGGTGTAGCAGGAGTCTCTTCCTCTCCTGGTGGGTACAGGACCAAGGTTCCCTTCTGGTAGATGCAAACAGTCCAATAGTCTGATGTCTGTCCTCTTCTCATGGATGGAGGCAGGACTGTTACCGGAGCCTTGGCAGTCCCTGGGTGTGTTGGATCCCATTGAGTTAAGATCCCGTGAGGAGTCCCTGGGCCTCAGGTGTCCCCAAGCAAGGCAGTGGAACCCAAACCCAAATAAGACCATTTCTACTAAAATGTTTTGGGGCAGTTGTTCTCAACCTTCCTAATGCTGCAATGAACCTAAAGGGTTCACGACCTACACATTGAGAACTACTCTCTTAGGGCTTGGGGAAATGACTCAAATTATATAAGGAGCTAAGCTAAGCTTCTCAGAAGCTAAGTAAAAAAGCTGTGTGTGGTGGATTGGTCATCCCAGCACTGGGGATTTAAAGGCAGGAAGGACCCTGGTGCTTGTGGGTCAGCAGGCTAGACTACATAATGAGTGCCAGCAGGTGAAAGACTCGGTCTCAAATCAAAGGTTAGCAATGCCTGATGAACAACACCTACAGTTATTTTCTGGACTGTGCACACACATGGATGAACATGCAGAAACATGAATATGAATATACACATACACACACACACACACACACACACACACACACACACACACACACACACACACATTTTAGTATCAGATTTTTACCCTATACTGCTACTGGGCAGTCTTCTACCATGCATGTAAACAAATCCAAAGGAAAACAAAACCATAGTTACTCTGAGCCAACACAAATAGTTTTGTGTCTCATTGATTGCTTATTCATTTCCCATTCATTTCAGATTTCAATTGCAATTGGAAAATCAAGAAAACTCATGTGGATATATATGCACGACCATAATATAAAAATTGAAGGGGAAATATTTGACTTTGGCACATATTATCTGGGAGGAATTCCAATTGCAATCAGAGAAAGGTAAGATGATGCTGTGGAGGGTTTTTTTGTTTTGTTTTTTTGTTTTGTTTTTTTTTGTGGGGGCGAGGAACACTGCGTGCATGTGAAGGTCAGAGGACCACTTGTGGGGATGGTTCTGTCCTCCTACCCTGTGTGTCCTGGGCATCAAACTAAGGTTATCAAGTTTGACAGCAAGTGTCCTTACCCACTGAACCATCTCACCACCCCAGTGTGCTGCATTTTCCCAGAGCAGATCACTTCTCATTTCTAGTCTCCCTCATTTAATCTTAGCCACAAACAGTTAACTTTGGAGTACTGACAAAGTAGTCAGGAAAGAAAAACAGATTGTAAATATTGAATAATGGGACTGGCCATTCAAAATGGGGGGAACTGGATGAACTGTGTGTCACCCTATTGTCCCTTTTTGTCACTCTTGGAAAGATAGAAAGACTCCATTTGGATCGACCACACCAAGGAAAACGGAATGAGTCTACTGGTTTATGCATTAAAGAAGTTCACGGGCAGGTGTAGACTAAGAACACACACATGGGGAAGGGGAAGAAGGAGGGGAGGTGGGGAAGAGAGAGAGAGAGAGAGAGAGAGAGAGAGAGAGAGAGAGGAGTCACTTTTCCAGGCAGTCTGATTTATGCTTCCAAACAACAGGCTCCTTCCCCTTTCTAAATAAGCTAACACTTTCCTTTCTTGTTTTAATTAAAATCACAAGAATAGAGAAATAAAGGAAGTGGATGGAAGCCCATGATATTATTTACCTGGCCTTTTATTTCTTCAGAAATAAAATGCTAAGCAGTATTTGTCTGTTTCTGGCCTGTCTTATCTATCTGATAAGGTATTTGGCTGTCCAATGAGCCCCAGCAACTATCTCCTGATGAGGGTCATTGGTAGGGCAGTGGCCTAGAGGGCCTCAACAGACCCTGCAGGAACAGCCACATAGCTCTTCTCAAGGTCCCTGGCTTAGTAGAAGGCCCCTGAAGAGAGTCAGGGAGCTCACACCTGACTGGAGTGAGATTCGGTGGAGTCCTGCTGTGTTCTGCAGCTTAGCTCTTCTGAGTCCATGGCTCTCCTCCCTCTCAGTCTTCTGGGAATAAGGACCCAGATCTTTGAATGACTTGAGACTATAATTAGGAATCACTTGTCTGTTGATCCAGTCTACAAATCCGTCCTGATAAGGCCAGAGGGCCTGGCACTAACCAGAGAATTTTCCCTTGGGTTTGAGTGTAATCATAAAACTTGGAAACAAAGATCATAAGTATGTGACAGCCAGCCAGGGTCTGACAAACCCTGGGCTCTGCATTACTTGTCCTCCTGCCAAAACCAGCCAGGGAGCTGGATAAGCTTTTGTGGGCAGCTGGGCCCAGAATATGTACATCCATTCATGTAGGAAGTCGTTGACTGGACAGCATGTGACCCGACATAATCAGGCTCCTTTAGCAACCTTGTTCAGACCTTGCATCCTGGAGGGAGTGTGGAAGCTTAGGCCCTCAGCTGGCCCAAGAGAACAAATCTGTAAAGACACTAGTCCCAGAATTGAAACATACATCCCCCTCTCCAGGGCGAAAGCTGTCTTTATAAAATAATTAAGCCACAAGGCCAACGAGGATGTGCTTTTCTTTTATGAAATTTAATTTTATGCAAGTTCTCATATCTCTTCTGTTTATAATGAATCAGGCTAGACTGGAGGCAGGACACCTTTCCATTTGCATATGTAGGATTTGCATATGTTGCCTTGGGGATTTATAATGAAATCAGCACTGGATTTTCTTAGTGCATCGCTTAATTAAGAAACATTAATATTTGCCTGGACCTCAGTCAGTTCATGTGTATTAATATTTTTCATGAATTCAGCTCCACACAGGTCAGGAACTCCAATCAAAGGGGAACGTCAGGGTGCCACATAGAAAGACCCACTATAGAAGTTGCTTGTGTAGGCTTGGGAAGATGTATCATTCTATAAAGGGTGGACAAGCCTGAGAACCCGAGTTCAGATCTCTAGCAACAATATAAAAAATTCAGGTGTGCTCATGTGTGCCTTTAATTCTAGTGGTAGGCAACAGAGGCAAGGAGATCCCGCAGAGTTTCTGGGCAGCCAATCTAGCTACGTTGTTGAGCTCCAGTTTCAGCGAGAGACCTTATCTCAAAACATAAGGTGGAGAGCTATAGAGAAAGACATCCATTGCTAACCGTTGGCTTCAACATGCACATACATACAAACCCACACCCACAGGAATAGGTACACACTTATACATGCATACACCACACAGCCAGAAGGAATTGCTGCCATAATGATAATAGTGCACTAATGTAGGGTTGTCATATGTAGGGTAAATAGTGAGCTAGCCCTGCTGTCTTCTAATGAGTCCTCAGTTTCCCTAAGTGCCATTTGAGTGTGTTACACATATTAAGTTAGTCATATGACGGACTCGTGAAGCAGGATGGGATGGCAGGTTTTTCATTTTGGACTAGAGAGGTATAGAGGATTAAGGTTGCCTGGGCAAGCAGGCACAGAACTTGAGCCAGAGAGCCCAGCTCCAGAGCCCACAGCTCTCACCCCATCCTGAGCCTCTCACACACCTATCTTGTTATGTTGTGTTGCGTTGTGTTGTGTCTGCCATCATTCCAGGTTGTTTCTGAGCACCGTACATTTAGTCCTCATAGCAACCACTTGCTCACATAGCATGGTTCAGAGGTGGCAGATAAATTGAAACCCGGGACATCAGTTTGGCATTGATTAGATCAGCCATGTTTTCCGTAATTTAATAGAACGAGAAAGTAAGTTTCCTCTGAGTTCACAGGGCCAGTGGTAAAATAGAGCCTAAAGTTGTTTAGCACATCCCTGGCTCTTGCATTTCCGAGTACAGTTTCTAGAATACCTGCGGTTTACAGCACATCCATAGACTTCCCATCCATTGAGAAGTACCAGAAAACCAGCATTTCTGGGGCGCCCAGGCTGACGGTCCCCCTTTCTACCTTCATTCCCAAGGTTTAACATCTCCACTCCGGCTTTCCAAGGCTGCATGAAGAATCTGAAGAAAACCAGTGGTGTTGTCAGGTTGAATGATACTGTGGGAGTAACCAAAAAGTGCTCTGAAGACTGGAAGGTAAGTGCAGGCCTCAGAACCGTGTGCCGCATCATCCCAGAGGGCCTAAGGTGCTGCGGTGAGCTGCAGTGCACTGCCTATGTACTATGTTTGTAAAGACGATCACCGGCTAGACACACAAAACCTGACTGTGGCAAAGCAAAGTGCGAGTCTGTCTGAACTGCACGAATGGAGTTCACCATTTCTACAGAAGTGGTGCAGTCTGAAAGCCCATATCTGGGCCTCCAGAAAATGATTATAATGCCAGTCATTCCATGTTTGCATTTCAGCTCGTGCGAACTGCCTCATTCTCCAGAGGAGGACAGATGAGTTTTACAAACCTGGATGTGCCCTTTCCTGACCGCTTCCAGCTCTCTTTTGGGTTTCAGACCTTTCAGCCCAGTGGTACACTATTACATCATCAGACACGGGTAAGAGGTAGCGTGTTTAAATTACGATGCAAGCCTGGCTCCACTGTCCAAAGCAGCAGAGGGATTTTGAAGGTAGAGGAGTTAGGCATGCTATCTGCTATCTCAGTTCTGGTATGAGCAATCTCCCCCTGGGGCAGAGACTGAAGAAAATCCAGCTAGACGGTGCCTAATAATCTATAGAGCTGTGTTTGTGTGCATTGAGCAATCATTTCCATTCTCTACACATCTGTGTTCAAATGAATTATAACAGCTATCAGTGACAGCGTGGGTTAGGAAAAGATTAAGATTTATACTTACTATTTCTTCTTGATCACAACTTCAAAAGATGGTCTTCAGATTCCTTTATTGCAGCAGCTACTCCTCAGAAAATATTTACCCTGTAGAATTAGGAAATCAGATCCAATGCTCTCCTCACATGCAGTAGAGCCACAGAAATTCACTTTTGGGTGGGAAGGTGGCTTGGCAAGTGAAGTGCTTACTATATAAATCTGAGGATTAGTGTTTGGATCCTAAGCTCCCACAGGAAGCAGACAGGACATCCCCTTAGCCATGTAGGGCTCAATCCCCTGACCTGGACCAGCCAAAATGATGAGCTCCAGGTTCAGTGAGAGACTGCGTCTGAATGTGTAAGGTAGACAGTGATCAAGGAAGACACCTGAAGTCAACCTTGTGTCTCCATACATGTACAGCCATACATGCACACCATACAGGCATACATGAACAAGGAACACACAGAGAGCAAGAGAGAATGAGAGAGAGACTGAGACTCTTCCACAAGAAGATGCCCTCTGTAGCTCCAGACAAATGAGTCAGCTTAGGAATCCACTCTTAGGAAGGATGGGACTTGAAAGTAAATAATATTTTTGATAGGTTTCTTTAATGTTGCCAATCTCAATGGATATTTTGTATCAGATCTAAAAGATGACATTGGCTGTCTCTGTGGCCACGCCCATTAGGAAGGTCACTCGCCTTTTGGTATCTTGTTTAACAGTCTTTGTAGACTTTTAAGATGATCCCTAAAGAGACGTTGACAGCACATTAGTTTGACCTAATGTAGGCCCTCCTCTCTCTCTCTCTCTCTCTCTCTCTCTCTCTCTCTCTCTCTCTTTCTTTCTCCTCTCTGTGTGTGTGTGTGTGTGTGTGTGTGTGTGTGCACATGCGCACGTGCACTTGTGTACATTTCTGGCCATGGGATCATGTGGTCATTCACGTATGTGTACACAGATGTGTGTGCTAAAGGACAATTTGGGGTATTATTCCTCAGGAGCCATCACCTTGCTTGAGACAAGGTCTCTCACCAAATAGTCTAAGCTAGCAAGCCAGCAAGCCCTGGAGATCATCCTGTATCCACCTCCCCAGCCTTGGGATTGTGAGCATACTCCACTGCACCCAGTTTTTTTCTATGTGAGTTCTGGGAACTGAACTTAGATCTTCATTCTAGTGTGGCAAGCATTTTCCTGACTGAGCCATACCCCAGTCCTGACCTAGCACTTTCTAGTTACTAATCCTTGTTCCCTCAGTCACATGTAAGTACAGTTAGTACACACTCAGTTAGTACACACTCAGAAAAATGGTTGAAAGCAGATGGAAGGATTAACAACAAGTCAGAACAACCCTGTGCAGTAGAGGAATTCTAGAAATGTCTTAGAGGCATTGCTTTCAAGTTCAAAAGGGTTATTTAAAAAACACAATTGACTCCATTGTTAACAAGTACTTCAAGAGCAACTAAAGCCATCACTGACTGTGAGTGTGCACTGGACAAATTGCTGTAGAAGAAAAACTTACAGAGAACACACACCTTAAGGAAAACTTCAGATATTAGATTTGATAGAGAAAACTGAATGAAACTGAAATGACAGCTGCACTAATGGTAGGTTTTAAGTTACTTATTAACAGAAAGTTGATCATCTTGCCAGTGTTTGGATGAGCACAGCTTGACATGGGCTCCCTAGAAGTAATGGCCAAAACATAAGACATTTATGAAATCATAGAGGAGTCATTGTTGTGATCTTCCACAGGAAAAATGTGAATGATGATGAATCAACTCATGGCTATAAAATTTATGCAGAAGTGAATGGATTTTGATAGAAATAACTTCATCAAAATAAGAGAAAAATAGGGGGAAATTAGATAAGATTTAACTGTTCTGATTAAAAATTAAATGGGCCTAATGAAAGTAGATCTAGAAGAAGACTGACAAATTCATCAACGTTGAAGTAATCTGCATAACATTTTATATTCACAAACAAGGAGACAAACTATTTAAAACTTATCTTTTTTCAAGTGTCGAAGTCCAAACATATGGGTCAAAATGCCCTGACTGCTTTACTCCTATTTTTGATCATGTGTTTGTCATCTCTAAATACACATTAACTGTTGCTGGTGTATTCTGGGATGGTTTCAGACAAGTAGCCTGCAGGTCACCCTGGAAGATGGTCACATTGTGTTAAGCAGCAGGGACAGCAGCAGCCCGATTTTCAAGTCTCCACAGACCTACATGGATGGCTTACTGCATCACGTGTCTGTGATAAGCGACACCTCAGGGTGAGTGGCGGCTTGGTTGCCAGGGTCTAGTTAACAGAGTTCTCCAGCATAGCTTTCCAGGGTATCTCTTCTGGGGCTGATGCATGCTGTCTATGTGTTAGCACTTTCCTAGTTCTATGCCCCTGTCCTGATTGAAACGTAAAGTCAGTGGTCGGATAGATAAAAATTGAAGACAGACTAACCACCCTAAATGCGGGAGGCCCATCATAAACCTGTATAAATACGATGGTGTGGATGAGCCTCCAAAAATGTGAAGAGAAGACACACCTAAGAGCGCTCCCTATGATTTTGTGTCCATGAGTTTAAAAAACAAAAAGTGGGGGACAAATCAGTTGTATCAGAATTCAGGGTGGTGGTTATTCCTGGAGAGGGAGGGAAGCTGGGAACTACAATGAACACAAAGAGGGGATTCTGGGATACCGGCCAGTTAGTATCTTTCTATGAATGCACACTACACGGATATATTCATGTTGCAAAGAAATCATTGAGGGGCTAGAGAGATGGTTCAGTGGTTAAGAGCACTGGCTTCTCTTTCAGAGGACCCAGGTTCAGGTCCTAGCATCTACATGACGCTCACAACCATTCTTAACTCCAATTTCAGGCAATCCAATTCCTGCTTCTGACTCCTCAGACCCTAGGCACATATGTGGTGCACGGACATACATTCAGGCAAGGCACACACACACACACACACACACACACACACACACACACACACACTAAAATAAATATTGCTTGAGCAGATGTCTATGATGTATGCTTTCAGTACGTATATATTATTTAACTGAAGCACTATGTGGGAAAATACATTGCACTTTACAAAGTATTTCTGATTTGACTAGTACTGCTGGGTGATAGATTTGAGTCTATGTCAGACAGTAAATCATTCCCACAGTGTTCTGGGGTTTTTGTTGCTGTTTTGTTTTTTTGTTTTGTTTTGTTTGTTTGTTTTGTTTGTCTCACCGTTGTCTTGCTTCTTCCCTTTTTCAGCCTCCGACTCCTCATTGATGACCAGGTTCAGAGAAGAAATCAAAGGCTCCCTGGATTCTCCAATGCCCAGCAGTCCCTCCGTCTGGGAGGCGGTTATTTCGAGGGTTGTATCAGCAACGTTTTTGTCCAAAGGTGGGGGATCTTTTTTCTGTGGTTATCAATAAGAGCCCACCCACCTGAACAGTGTCACACTTACCCAGTCACTGAATTAGGTTTCTCAGTGTTTCCAAAGGCTCTCATCCCACATATTTCCAAGATTCATTTAAAAACCAACAAGCAAAAGCTCCTAGCAGCTCAGATCTCAGAAAAGATCTAATGAAAATTAATTTTCAGATCATGGCCCTTGGAAAAATATCCACACTGTTTGGTTCCATTTTAATGAAGACTGTACAGCTGGATTGGATCAGCTCTCCGTGGCTTTTAGGGTAAAGGGATTTTGAGGATCTGTGCAGTACCTGGAAGACCCAATCCCACAGTGCTGAGCATAGCTTTCAGAAGAGTAGAGCTCCGGGTTCCACTCCTACCAGCTTTAAATGCTACGTCTAACTCAGAACACTTTAGATAAGAGCTTCAGTGCCTCCCTATAGCAGAGGGAAGTCCTGGATGTGGCTGGAGCCTGCCCCCTGCCAAAATGGCACCATCACACTCCTACCATCCAGGGGGCATGAACCTTCGGGGCCAAGGTGAGGCCCCCAGTTCTCATGCCTGTTCGTAGTTGATAAAGCAGCTCTCTTGAGCATGTAGTCCAGTGGCAGGAGCAGGGTGTGGGAGGAATGAAGAACAAGGGAGATGTGTAACAACACCCTCTTCCATTATAAGACAACACACAGCTAAGCAAGCACAGTCACACACATCTTCCCATAAACCCACTTCTGTGGCATACTGATGTTCACCAAGATTTCTATGCTGTCCCATATCCATCACTTCCCCTGACAATACCCATTTCAAAGAATAAACTAGTATTCCAGCCCTGCCATACTTCAAGTCCACGGGGGCTTCTGGAGCCCTTCTATCTTGCACATGTGACTTGCACAGGTGAAAGTTCATGACAGTAAGAATGTCCTTTGCCACAAGCTCTCTCTGCCTACGGGTGGGTCTCCTTCCATAGGCAAGAGTTTGGTCATAGCTTTCATTTTGCCCTCACTCCAGGTTGTCGCAGAGTCCTGAAGTCCTTGATTTAGCCAGTAAATCTACCAAGAAGGATGCATTTCTGGGAGGCTGCAGTTTAAACAGGCCACCCTTTCTCATGTTGTTTAAAGGTCCCAAGAGATTTAACAAGGCCAGGACTTTCGATGTCAATCAGGTAAGTGTCAAAGCCTTACCTTGGGTTTTACTTCTCCTGACCCTGACTAGGGATAGATGATGGGAACGGGTAGGTCATCACCCAGTCTCCGGTGGCACCAAAGGATCACCAGTAGTGGACAGGCACCAAAATGACAAAGCCAGGACTGGGGAGTTGGCTTAGTCAGCAGGGTTGTAGAGTCATGCACAAACGCGCAGATCTGAATTCGGGTTCCTAGCACCCTTGTAAAAAACAGTGTGTGGTAACATGCATCTGTAATCCAGGCCGAAGGAGGTAAAGGCCCTTGGAATTAACTGACCAACCAGTCTAGCTGGATTGGGAGCTCCAGATTCAGTGAGAAAGCTTGTCTCAAAAACTAAGGTGAGGGCAATAGGGGAAGGCATCTGACTCTGGTCTCCAACTTCGGCATGCTCACACATGGTCATGCATACACAAACATGTATACACACATACACTAAGAATATGACAAAGTGATTTCTCTTCAACATTTATTTTGTATCTTGAATAAAAAGTTGGCAGTTTTTGCAGTCTCAGAAATGAACTTGCTCAGTGAGAGCAACACCAGTAAGTCCAAAGTGGGGACAAAAGATGAAAGGAAGGCTTGCCACTATGTCTAATAAGAATACTGAGACTCATTCTCCAACAGTGCTTCTCTTCAAGCCAAGAAGTTATGGGGCTTTCACTGGGTAAACTGATGTGCGTTCATATGGAAAACATTCCCATTACATTATGGAAGGTACAGTCTTGAGCATGCTCAGTTGGACTTCATATATCGTTTGTCCAGAAGTGGTAGAACAGAAACACCCTCTGCAGCGGAATTTGTGTTATAGTGAGACCATCCTGAGCAATGTTGACTCTGGGTCACTTAGAAGAGAGGCAATGCAGTCTTGGCCATATTAAACCATGTCCTTGCAGTTTGCAGGGATGACCTAGTTTCATTTCTATTGATGTGGTAAAATACCTTGATAAAAAGCCACTCGTGGGAGAAAGGGATGTATTTCAGCTTACAATTCCAGGTCACAGTCCCATCATTGTTGCGAAGTCGAGGCCAGAACTTGAAACAACCAGTCACATCACCTCCACAGTCAAGAGCTGAGGGAAATGAATGCATGCTTGATCAATTGCTTGCTTGTGGTCAGCTGGATTTCTCCACTCATATACAAGTTAGGACTCTGCCTAGGAAATGGGGTTACTCACAGTAGTCTGGATCTTCCTATATCAATTAACTGAAGATAATCCCCCATAGTTTTGCCCACTTTAGACAATCCTTCATTAAGACCTTTCCCCTGTGACAGGGGCTTGTGTCAAATTGACACATAAAGATAACCATCACTGTCTTAGTTAGGGTTTCTGTCACTGTAAAGAGATACCATGACCACGGCAACTCATGAGTGAAAACACTTAATTGTGATGGCTACTTACAGTTCTGAGGTTCAGTCCATTATCATCATGTTGGGACATGGAGGCATGCAGGCAGACATGGTACTGGAGAAGTAGCTGAGACTCCTACATCTTGCAGGCAACGGGACACTGAGACACTGGGTGATATCTTAAGCATTATGAGACATCAAAGCCTACCTCCACAGTAGCACACTTCCTCCAACAAGACCACACCTACTCCACAAGGCCACATCTCCTAATATGGCCCCACAATGGCTCCACTCCCTTTGGGGGCTATTTTCTTTTAAACTACCATGATCACAAAGGTCTTATCTGAAATAAACAAAAGCCCCAAAAGGAGCCTTATTGGTATTTAAAAGTGTAACATCTTGCTCCTCAACCCCTGCTTAAGCCAAGATTATTGCCCTTAGCTAAAACTACCTACCTAGCTGCTAACAGATCTTAATTAGGGTGTTAGAATTTCTGTGGCTGATACCTTGCTTTTATACATTTCATGTATTGATAGCAGGTCTGGAGACTTTCTCAAGACTAAAGGGGCATTGCCCCTTCTTACATTTGTGCCCACAAATGTCCTCTCTGCCCCTGGAGCAACCTCCATGACAAGGCATGCACATTCATCCAAACTTTGTCAAAGACAAGGTGGCTCAGGCTGCATATTATAAACAGACAAGGACTTTTAAAATCACGATGCTCAATGACCAGTCAGATAAGAGGCATCTGAAGAGGCCCAGGTAGCTGTAGTTTGCCTGGCCCTCCAGGTGATTCTCACGTGCCTCACAGAGACCAAAAGGAAGTCATTTTGCTGTCATGGAGGAGTGTCATGAATTAAACACAAGCATAGGAGTTAGGTAATCCCTTATTATGAGCTTGGCCAACAGGGTGACCTCCCCCTATCTGGTATGACAATAAGAAGGATGAGCAGCCTTGATCCAGCCATTGTACTGAGCCTTGGGTGAATTTTCTTACATCGCTAGATGCATCTTTCAGAGAAGGAGGCTCGGGTCTGGACCGATGAGCAATTTATCCTAAGAGTAGAAGGCTGTGCCCTCTAAGAGCAAGCTGCTGGGCTGCAGGGAGAACTCAGTACCTGAGTATTTGCCTACCATGCCTGAGGCCCTGCTTCAGTCTCCAGAAGCACTAGTTTTTGACCAAGCAGAACATGCTGCTCCAGCCCAGCCCCAGTGTTAGTTAACATCGACATTTGCTCCTCACCCAGCTGCTCTGTAATTATTAACAGACAGTACTGAATAGCCAGTGTTCTGTACTGTTTAGAGGATGTTCACTTCACGGATGCTCAGGGCTTGTTGTCTTACTGTGATGTGAAGACTGCGTTTACAATCGCCCCTTCAGAAATGAAGTCATGCATTTCATTTCTTCTGAGCTGGGACTAAGTCGGTAGGGTGGAGTGGAGCTGGTGAGGAGGAAATGGACTCTGCTATTAATCAGAAGGTAGAAAAATAACTCAGACAATCATTGGATTGGGGAGAACAGGGAGAGACAGGGGAATCCTGGGGTGTCCAGTCTGCAGTGTAGCCTACCTGGTAATGCTAAATAGAGAGATGGAGAACAAGCGTTGGAGAGGAGTCTGGCATTTTGAAGGATAGGTGCTTTCAGGTCATGCAGACAGGGAGAATTGGAAGGAAACTGTTGGTGTATCCTAGGGGGCCTATGCAGGTTGGGAGTAAGGGAGGGGACATTGTTCTGAGAGACATTGGTGAATGAATGCATTATCTAACTTTTTCCTCTTCTGCACAAGCTCCAGATTAGATTAGATGAACTATGTTATTTCTGCTGTGAATAGCTTGGCAGTGGAGAGAATACAAGGTTTATGGTGATCTGCTCACACCACACTCCTCAGAAAGGAAGTGAAAACTGGATAGGTCCCGATGTTAAGTTTCAGATTAATGGAGTTGTGTTTGTTTTGTTTTTTAATTATTTTTAATTACTCATATTTATATATCCACCCCCCCATTCCCTCAACCTCCCATCCTCCCATGTTCTCCACCCAACCCACCCCTGACTCCTCCCCAGGGATTGTGAGGTCCTCCACCAAGGACCTTCAAAGTCTGTCATATTGTTTGGGGGAGGGCCTAGGCCCTCCTTGCTGTATCTGGGCTGCAATAGTGTCTTTCCATAGGGAATGGGCTCCCAAAGACCATTTGTGCTCTAGGGATAAAGACTGGCTCCGCTGTTAGAGGACCCATAGTCTGTCTTGGAATCCTAGCTGGTACCCACATTCAGAGGGCTTGGTTTGGTCCAATGCTGTTTCCCCAGCTTTATGACTAGGTTCTCCATTCTATCAGTAGGTCAGGTCCACTGATTCTTCAGGTCTCTCCATCCCCATCTTGGCTCCTTTGCTCAACCCTCCTCCCTCTCCACAACTGAATTCCCGTAGTATGGTTCAGTGCTTAGCTGTGGGTGTCTGTTTCTACTTCTAACAGAAATTGAATGAAGACTCTCCTTCCTCTA